CGTCTGGTGCTCGAGCGGACGAGGGGATCCTGCCCGGCCCAGCTAAGCCGCCGCCTCCGCAGTCGCAGAAGCAGCTGCAACCGTCGCAGCAGCCGACGCAGACGAGGCAGGCGAGTGTTCTCCCGCCTGGGTGGCCTGGAGCTGGCGGTGGTCGTGCGTGTGGTGGTGTGCCGGGTGGTGGTTCGGGAGGCATGCGTTGCCAGTACCAGATCCAGACCGGTCCTCGCCGCGGCTTCGTTTGCGGTAAGACCGGTCATACCACTCCTCGCTGCTTTCGTCGCCTGGACGACCTGTTTCGTCAGCGCTTCGGCCCGTCGCCAGACCTCCCGGACTGGCACAGTTTGCTTAGTCGTAGTATTCCGATTTTTGACTTGGACATGGATGCCATTGTTTCTGCTCTGCATGTGATGTATGCTGATGACTCTAGTGTGCTTCTCGCTTATTACTCATTGTCGTCTAGTGTAGGTGTGCCTAGCTTAGCCTCCCCTGCTGCGTCAGGCGTAGGAGCCCCTGTTTTGTTTAGCCTTGGTGCCTCCGCCGTCGCCCCGTCGCCGGACGCCACTGCTTCGCTTTCCTTCACCTTGGACTCTGGCGCTTCCCGGTGCTTCTTCCGCGACTTCACTACACTGACGCCGCTTCCCGTTCCTGCTGCCGTTTCTCTTGCTGACCCCTCCGGCGGTCCGGTAGTCGCCCGCAGTTCCACCACCCTTCCCTGTCCGGCGGTTCCTTCGGGCTCTCTCATAGGTCTGCATATCCCCTCGTTCTCCAGGAACCTAGTTGGTGTCGGCTGCCTCCAGGACCTTGGCGTCACCACTACGTTCCCTGACCACGAGCGGTATGCTGTCTGTACCGAGGCCGCCACAGGTGCCCCCCTGTCCACGTTCCCCCGGGACCCGGTGTCCGGCCTGTTCACCTTGGACACCGTGACCCCCCCGGCTGGAGCGCCCCTTCAGGTGGCTGCGTCTACCCCGGTTGCTCCTGCCTGCTCCTGTCGGTCCCTCACTCACCCGACTCTCCTTTGGCACCATTGCCTAGATCACCCTGCACTCCCGCGTCTGCGTCACATGTCCCAGCACGGTCTCGTCCTTGGTCTCCCTGGTTCCCTCCCCGCTTTTCCCTCCTCACCCGCCCTGCCTTGCACTCCTTGCGTCGAGGGTCGGCTTCGCCGTGCCCCTCACTCCTCCTCGTTTCCCCCTACCGCTGCGCCGCTGCAGACCCTGCACATGGACGTTTGGGGCCCCGCCCCCGTCCATGGGCCGCGTCGAGAGCGCTACTTTCTCGTGCTTGTCGACGACTTCACTCGCTACACCAGAGTCTTTCCACTGGAGCGGAAGGCCGACGTGCCTGACGCTCTCAACCCCTGGCTTGTCTCTGCGCGTGTCCACAGAGGTCTCCCTGTCTTGCGCCTTCACTCAGACCGTGGTGGCGAGTTTGCCTCAGGTGTCCTTGGTCGCTTCTCTCGTGCAGAGGGCATCACCCAGACGTTCACCCTGCCGGACTCCCCACAGCAAAATGGGGTCGCTGAGCGACGCATCGGCTTGGTTATGGAGGTTGCTCGCACCTCCATGATCCATGCCGGTGCACCCCATTTTCTGAAGCCGTTCGCCATGCGCTACGCTTCTCACCAGCTTAACCTGTGGCCGCACCCCCAGCGGCCGCAGGTTTCGCCGACCCGTCTTTGGACCGGGTCTCCTGGTGACACGTCTGCGTTCCACGTCTGGGGCTGCCTTGCTCACGTTCGCGCCTCCGGCATGGACAAGCTCACTGCCCGCACCGTTCCCTGCGTCTTCCTAGGTTTTCCCCTTGACGCGTCCGACTGGCACTTCTACTACCCGCCGTCTCACCGCTTCTTTCACTCTCGCGACGTCACCTTTGACGAGTCCGTCTCCTTCTACCGTCGCTTCCCCCACCGCGGTCCCCCGGTTACCCCCCCCCTTGTTCTTGGTCACTCCTTCCCCGGTGGTCCCTGCCCCTCCCCCTCCCCCTCCCCGTCTTGCCCCCTCTGGTGTGTCCCACGTCACCCCTCTCCCGTCGGTTGTCCCGGTTGAGGAGTCTTCTGACTCAGGTGGTCCTGCGGCGCAGTCCTCGCCGTCTGCCCCTCCCCCGGCGTCTCCTCTTCCACCGCCTCTGCAGCCGCCATCGCCTCTGCTGTCGCTGCCGTCGTCCCCGCAGCCGCCGCCGCCGTCGCAGCAGCCGTTCGTTGCCCCTGGGGGTGCCAGCGTTGGAGTGGGTTCTAGCCCCGGTGGCCCCGGGGGTGGTGCCGGTGCTCGAGGAGTTTCGGGCCCTGGGGGTGTTCCTTCTGGGGGTGCTGGTGTGGAGTCTGTCGGTGGTGGCCGCAGAGCGGCTTGCGGTCCCGGTGTCGGCGTTGTGCCACTGCAGCAGCAGTCCCCGCCGGTGTTTGCCCTTCGCCTACTCGGCCTTCCGTCCCCTGACCCTGCGTCCGTTCCTCTCCTCCCGTCTCCTCCTCTCCCCGTGTACGGCCCTGTGTTCCCTCCGCCGGACTCGTCCCCGGCTCGTCTTCCCCCTCGCTCTCCCCTTGTGTCCCCTCCTCTGTCTCCCGACCTGACTCCTGCGTCTCACGTCTGGTCTCACCGTCCCTCCCGTGCTCGTTCTGTTTCCCCTGTCACCCGCTCTCACGCTATGTTGCTACGTTCCCACGCGTCTCGTCCTCCCCTTCTCCCGTCCCCTCCTCCGTCCTCCCTTGTCGTTGCTCCCCCCCCTCTGTCCGACTACTTTCGTGCCGCTCGTACTCTCGTTCCTTGGGTCCTTGCCTCTCTCGTTACCGACCCGTCTGTTCCGGTTTCGTGCCTTGACGCTCCTGTCGCTGCGGTCGCTGACTTCGCCTCTACCCGCCGCCTTGACTACGCCGCCGCTCTGGTCTCAGACCCTGCCTATCCTCCGTCTGTCGGGGGTGCTCCTGCCCTCGGCAGTGACGTCCTGGAGGACCGCCAGTTTGAGCTTGCTTTCCTGTCCGAGGCTGCTCCCCATCTTTGCTCCATGCTGCTAGTCCCTGAGGGTGATCCAGACGCTTTCGACATCTCGACCCCTCGCACTTACGCTGAGGCGACCTCGGGACCCTGGGCCTCCCAGTGGATAGCTGCCATGGAGCAGGAGATGGCATCTTGGAGATCCACCGGCACCTTCGTCGACGTAGTTCCCCCACCTGGGGTGAACGTAGTCGATGGCTGCTGGCTCTTCAAAGTGAAGCGCCCTCCTGGAGAGCCGCCAATGTTCAAGGCGCGCTACGTGGCTAGAGGCTTCAGTCAGTGTGAGGGGGTGGACTTCTTCCAGACCTTCGCTCTGACCCCGAAGATGACTACTCTTCGGGTTCTGCTACACCTAGCAGCTCAGTGTGACTACGAGCTTCACTCCCTCGACTTCTCCACTGCCTTCCTTCAGGGCAGCCTGCACGAACAAGTCTACCTGCGCCGCCCTCAGGGCTTTACTGGCACCTTTCCTCCTGGGACCCAATGGCTCCTGTGGCGTCCCGTCTACGGCCTGCGGCAGGCTCCCCGTGAGTGGCACGATACGCTGCGTGCTACTCTTGCTGACCTTGAGTTCTTTCCGTTCTCGGCAGACCCCTCACTCTTCGTTCGTGCTGGCCAGACTCCGTTCGACATCCTAGTGTATGTGGACGATTTGGTTTTTGCCACAGCAGACAGGGACGCACTGGCCTCCGTGAAGGCAGAGCTGCTGAAGAGACACACTTGCACTGACCTTGGAGAGCTGCGCCGTTACCTTGGCCTGCAGATCTCCAGGGACAGAGCAGCGCGCACCATTACCTTGACTCAGTCACACTTGGTGCGCCAGGTCCTTCAGAGGTTCAGCCTTCAGTTCTCCTCTGCACAGCCTACCCCTATGCCTCTAGCCCACAGACTCTCCGCTTCAGTTCCTGAGGAGTCAGTAGAGCCCATTGGTCTTTACGCAGAGCTGGTAGGTTGCCTCATGTACCTGATGACTTGCACTCGCCCTGATCTCGCATACCCTCTCAGCATCCTGGCTCGCTTTGTGGCCAGAGGCAGGCACCGACCGCAGCACCGGTCTGCCGCTAAGAGGGTTTTGCGTTATCTTGCAAGTACATCGGGCATGGGGTTAGTGCTAGGAGGATGCAGGCCAGTGGTCCTTACTGGACACACAGACGCTTCGTGGGCGGTCGACGCTGAGAGACTCAGGTCTTCCCAGGGCTACTGCTTCAGCCTTGGTTCAGGTGCCGTCTCGTGGAGAGCTACCCGCTCCTCGTCTGTTGCCCAATCCAGCTGTGAGGCCGAGATCTACGCTGGTGCCATGGCGGCACAGGAGCTCCGCTGGCTGACTTTCTTGCTCACTGACTTAGGTGAGCGGCCAAGCTCTGTACGCTGTACGCTGACAACAGGGCCATGACCTTCCTGTGTCAGGAGCCTCGACTCGAGGGCAGAGCGAAGCATATTCAGCTGCGGTACTTCCTCCTGCGCGAGCTACAGCAGCGCCGCCAGGCCCGCGTAGTACACCTGGCCTCCGGTGCCAACACTGCTGATATCTTTACGAAGGCGCTTGCACCTAAAGATCATCAGCGGCACTGTGTACAGCTCGGTCCAGTCCCTGTAGCATCTCACTTGCTAGGACCGTGACCTTTGTACTGTCCTATATATCTATATGTTTTCAGACTGGACTTGTGTCCTCTACCAGCGGTTGGACTAGTAGTGCTGCCCTGGTCTTGTTCTTGCCTTTGCCTGTACTCCTTCTGGCTGGTCTTTAGACCCTTGTCTCAGTGGCTGGACTAGTAGTGCCGCCCTGAGCTGCTTGTTCATGACCTTCCCCTATGCAGTCTAGGGGGTGTGTCAAACATGTGTATCTCTGATAGTTTGCATAGACTGTATAGGGTCGTCTCTTAGAGGGTACAACACTTAGATATATTACCTGTATTCTCCAACTCTAGTCATTCATTCAGTTTGTGAGAAGTAGCGCTTCGACGCTGCCTTTGCTGTGTTGGCCTTCGCTACACTTTCGAAAAAAATGCATATGTTATAGGCTAACTAGGTGCATGCTTATATATAGTACAACCCCTTAGGTTATATCTCCTTGTACCACCTCATTCTAGTCAATTCTTTCTCTACTAAGAATGTGCTACATCTGATCCTGTACAATCTGAACCACAACCAGTGTAGCTTGCAATGGGACCTTCATGATGGCTCCTGGTATATCGAGCCCTTTGACATGCCATCAGGAGAAGCTCCTTTTCTTCTCGACCTAGCAGAGCCTCCAGAATAAGATTTCTTCGTTGCGTAGTGCTTGCGCATGTGTCCCCCTAGAGACTGCCCTGTGGGAAACGCCCTGTCACATCTGCTGCACTTAAATTTATTCTCACTCCCTCCAGCTGCTTGCCAAAGCCTATCCACCCCTTGGCCCTCGGCCCAGGGAGCCACTAAGCCACCATCATCGGGTCCACTCACAGAAAACATGCTGGTTCCAAGCAATTCTGCAGCCTTCTGCGTCAAGGGGCTGACTTCCCCTGGCTGCGGGCATTGCTGTCGCTCTTGCTGCCTGTCAAAAAGATTCCCCACACCAATGGACCGGGAGGCCTCTTCTGCAGCGACATCTGCTGCAGCATCAGAATCAGCATCGGCAGCAGCAAGAGCCGCAATCTGAGTGCCAAGTTCACCGGCATAGATAGGAGGAGCATGCAGGCTATCACTCCTGTCAGCCACACCACGCCGTGAATATGGATTTCTGGCGATGCGTGGGCCTTGCTGAGCTGGCACTGCCACGTCAGCAGCAGGCGCCGTGATTCCAGCCATCGGGTCGAAAACATTCAGGGGGTATTGCCCTATTGGATCCCTGGCAGGGTATGAGTCGTAGCATCGCCCGCCACCCCACGTCTTTGTGACAGGAATCAGGTTTTGGGGCGTCTCAAAACGCGTCGGATCCATGCCTAGGTACGAGTCGTAGCCCCGCCCACCCCACGTCTTTGACCTCTTTGTACTGTGGAAAGGCATTTGATCAGCTGTAGCGCCAACACCAGCATCAGCAGAGGCAGCTGTCGCATCAGCCGGAGCCCTGCCACCACCATCAGCAGCAGCAGCACCAGCAGCCACAGCCGCAGCAGCAGAAGTAGCAGCAGCAGCAGCAGTAGTGACAGCGGTAGAGAGATCTGCCAACGAGGTAGAGCGCGCATGCGGAAAGAGAGAGGCGGCAGTCGCCCGACGGGAGGCACGGTCCACCCGAGAGGAATCTAACATCGGAGAGGCATCCGCCATCTGCAAAGCGGCACTGGATGGCCGGGCTCGTTTCAGCCGCAGCAGCAACAGCTTCGCTGCAAGCCGCCCCTCCTTCCCACCATCCATTCCCACCTCCTCGCCTACTTGCCCGTCTGCATAACCCGGTACCATCATATCCCCCTGCAAACCCCTTTCACCCACTACATCCCCATAACCACTCTCAGCTCTCAGGCTGGAGTCTGGCCGTGGGGGTCCTATCAATTTGCCTGCGCTGCCCGTGCCCTGCGCCATCTCTATCTGCTGCTTCCAGGTCTGTAGCTCTGCCAGCAGGCTCCTCTCATTACTATCTGCCACTGTACCCCCCTGCGGTTGCAGCATGCTTCTCTCCCTTGCAATCTGCTGTTGCGGCAGCACCACTGCCGATGGCCTGTCTGAGAAGCTGACGCGCTGCTGAGACTGCCGCGCTTGAGAATCGCCTGCCCACCCTGCTGAGTCAGCAAGGTGCTGTTGGTCCGGCGCATTCACGTCCGACAGGTTTAGGTCCGGCCCGCCCCTCCTCTCCCTAGCCACCTCCTCAGCAGGCTCGTTCAGGTCCGGGAGCTCTGGCTGAGGTGACTTGGGGCCAACCTTCCTGCTCTCCCCACTCATGCCAATCATCCCACTCATCCCACTCAACCCACTCATACCACTTGCCCCCAAGCCAGGCAGCCTCCTCCGGCCCAAATCTCGTTCCAATCCCGCAGGAGAAGTTCTCTTCTGATCTGCTATCTTAGCAGCCGCCCAGGTTGACCCAGCTGCCGCCCAGGTTGGCCTGGCTCCTCCAATCAGGGTGTCAGGAGACCAGCTTGGGTCAGCAGCTCCCAGGGCAGCAGCGCTGGCAGAAAGTCCTTGGGAAGCAAGCGCCTGAGTGCTCGTGGAAAAGAGGCTGCTGCTCCACCCCTGCCTGGGACGAAGGGGAGCTTCTGATGCTGGCTCTGCAGCAGACCATGCAGCGAATCCTGCAGCAGACCCTGCGCCAGCGGGTGGTAGAGCGTTGAGCAGGGGATTCTGAGGGGAGTGTGCGCTGCTGCTGCTCCACCCCATGATGCCGCTGCGGCCGGTAGCCCCTTCGCCAGGGCCTGCGCCAGTGGGTGTTAGAGAGTGCGCGAGAAGGGCAGCAGAGCTGGTGAGAATGCCTTGATGGCTGCTGCTCGTGGTGGTGAACATGCCGCTGCTAGTCGTGGGTGCTTTTTGAGAATTCTCAAGAAAGCCTTGAAGCCCGCTGCTCGTGGTGGTGAACAGGCTGCTGCTAGTCGTGGCGAGAAGCCCGCTGCTGGTAGCTGAGAGAGGTACTGCAGACGGCAGCAGCAATGCCGTAGAATGCTTCGCCAGCTCAGCACCAGCATCCAATTCCAGATTTGATTCTGCCGAACGTTCGGTGTGGTGGTCTGCTGGGTGGCCCTGCAGCTGCTCTGACTCTGAACCAGGGCCGGAGCCTCGGAGTGGATTGAGAGACACCTCTTGGAGATTAAAGACCCGGCAGCTGCCGGAACCAAATTCGTGAATCCTCTCCACGTGGGAGTATGCTACAGCCGCGGCAGAAACGGTTCTCCGACTGCTACTGCGAGTAGGAGCCTCAGCGCTTGGGTGGGTCTCGCCATGGCTCCTTGCAAGGAAAGTCAGCATGTCTGGCGTCTCGTTATATGCATTTGACGTCATATTCGCGACAGAGGATGATAGGCTGCCGCCAGCTGCGCCGAACAGGTACTCCGCGAGACTGCTCGCGCCGTTCCCCCCGCTGGAACCCATGTATTACGCACCAGCCCGGCGCTGACCTCGTTGTCACAGCTATGATGAGGGCCTACTAGCTCTGAACGCAACTCCGAAAGAAGTGCGCCGACATGGAAGAATTGGAGCTTCAACTTGGAAAGGCTTGACGGCTCCAGCCTGGAGTATATTAGGTCTAGAGAGTTAGGAAGTCTAGAATGCTATGGATGAGGACTAGAATATGAATATTGTGGCTGAAATGAAACGTCATGAAAACCAGACCATCCGCTCCCCCCACCCTTCTCCGTACTTTTCCGCCTCCACTCCTCCTGAATTCCTTATGCTCCGCGAACAAGTCACACCCCACCCCAATTGCCACGGGCCGAGCCGAGAAAACCGCTTCGCCTAGCGGTGATTGCTTCACGAACTGTCGGAGCAAATTGCGGTATGGAGAGAGGCGTTCATCATGCCGCGTGGAGGGTACTATCATGATTCCCAAACCGACGAATCCGAGGTAACTAGAATAGGAATCCGCAGCTGAAGCTTACTCCGAGTGAGGTTCCGAGTCGCTCAGACGGACGGGGACGGGAATAGTTATCGAGAATGACACTAAAAGTTTATAGCCTTCTCCCCTTTGCCAAGTAACAGCAACTGGTACAGTAGTAATCCCTCAATGCCGTTCGGTTCGGACCCATAGCTCCAAAACTTCGGTGGCCAAACCAACCAGCTGCTCCCATCGGTTCGGATAAAAGAGGTCGCCTCGCCACGCCACCCTCACCACTCGCGGTCACGCAATAGCTGGCTGCCAGGCTGGATGTTAAAACGAGGCAGAGAAACATCAGGCTGGCTGGTAGCCGTCGCTCGGCTCGGACCTAGCCGAGGCTGAGAGCCAGCGTCGGAGGGACCGTCTGCCTGTCCGAGCGTGCTGGCCGTTTGAAGTGATGATGATAGTAGGCCGTGCTGACGCGACGGGCTGAGTAACTATTATTGCGCGACACGACGAGAGAGTCGAGCATCATCGACTTGCCAGTTGTGAATGGGGGAGGGCCGAGACGAGTCACGACGACAGAGACGGCATGGGGCTGAGCGCGACGCAGAGGCACCAGAGAGTGCCCACCACTGATACAGCTACCCTACTGTTCCAGCACACGAGCCAGCAGAGCCACGACCCACCGCCACACGAGATACGGGGGTAAAGCATGCCTACGACGATTTTTCGCTCGTAAAAGTTCCCAACTTTCCATATCCTCCCTGTGAAAAAAAGGTTGCTAGATTAGTGTACTGATGCTGGGAAGACTTATCGTGGACGCACTCCAGTTGGAGGGGAACTAGGGAAACAAACCACTGCCACTTTGCTCTATCTCAGAATTCACTTCCCCTCGCCCCAATAAAAGCAGGGCCATGAAATACTGTAGAAGTGTTGGCGCAGCACAATGCGCCATGGAGGCAGCCATGAAGATACGGACGATCTCGAGGAGGCAGAGAGCGGAGGGAAGGGAAACACAACCCACAGTGGGCCAGAGTCCAGACACCACCGGACCGGCATTGGAGAGGGAATGACAAAAAAGTTGCGGGTCGCAACTTGAATTCCTTTCGGAGCAGCATATTCCTGTCTCCCTGCTCGAGCGCGAATCCAATTCCTTCTGGAGGAAACGATAGACAGGTCATGTTTACACTAGGTAGACCCGCCCTGAGCAGATGTTACTAGTGGGAAAAAATACATAAAATCCATAGGGGGCCGGCATACTGTTCGGGGTGGCATCAACCCTAAAGTCCCACAAAACTCGCGAGTTTAGGGTTGATGCCATCCGAAATAGCATGCGGGTCCCTACGCGTTTTATGTTTCTCGTAAACAAATGTAACAGCTGTCGAACTGGCAGCAACCACGACAACAAGGGCATTAGGGTCAAAATTGTAAACAGCACCCCATGGTTTTTCCCTCCAAAAGGAATTGGAGACGCGCTTGGGCAGGGGGACAGGAATATGCTGCTCTGGAAAGAATTCAAGTTGCGATTCACAACTTTCTAGTCATTCCCTAGGCATTGGAACTGAAAAGGGTGACAGGAGGGCAAGGCAGTCATGGGTGTGGAAGAGGACAGACCATCACCGATAGGCTTCTCGGAAAGAATTAGTTTGCCGAAGAGGCTGATGATTCACATCACGTGGTTTCCGAGTTCCAGCTTGTGACACAAACCTGCAGAGATGGGGGAGATGCGGGTGGCGGGAGTAGTGGTGGCAGGGCTCCACGCCTGTGCCACTGCCAGCTTCCAAACTTGGTTTCGGTACGGGATGAGCATCAGCGGTCGATTTGGCGAGCGGTGGGTCCAAGCCAGATGAGTAGGTTCAGGGGCTTTGGTTGGACCAGGCGCTGAATTCGAAACGCTGACGTGCGGATGATGTTGCGGAGTCTTGGGGGCGTCGCAACAGCAGATGTACAGAGTCTTGGTGCCTCCGTCCCCCCCTCCCCCCTCCCCCTCCCCCCCCCCCCCCCCAAACCCCACACGCGTTCTGCTGGTGTGAACAAGTTCCTGAAATACACTTGACGTCCAGTGAATAACTCATTCATTAGATTTCAGTTGTCTATTTACAGGTCTTTAAGTCCAAACGCACGGTAAATGTCCCAAACGACTTAGACCCAAATATCTGCAGCAGTTACCAAATCTGATACAGAGACCTCCAAACGTGCAGACGGGACGTTCTCAAACCTTACACTGTTGCCCGAGCAACGCAAAACAAACAACAATGGTCTTCCGCTTTAGACGGGAAAGGCCAACGAGGTAACCAGACTACCATATATTGGCCCGATTCGCCCGTTAAATTTATAATCTCGATTTCGGAGCACCTGTCTGAAACAACACTAAATTTTAAAAGGACTTCATGTGTATATGACAGCCGATTTTTCCCCTCCCCCACAAACGCGGAATGGATGCCAATAAACGCTTGGCCCCAGGCTTCAAGAATCCTGGGCCAAGAATAGACGAACGTAGACGACAGTCAGGCCGTTGAAACATATTTGCATCTATATGCATACAGCCGGCACTATTCACGTTACACGGGCGAGTGGACAGTACGTCGCAAAACTGACTGCGTTTCGTTTCGTTAACGAAATAGTGACCACTCAGACATGGATACATGGGGCCAAGAAGGACTCGGCGCGGTGCTCTACAATTCGTTGTTGCTGTGTTGGTCAGTAATTTAGCCATTCACTGTATAAGTTGCTTATATCAAATCTAGCAATGTTAGCCAAGTCTGGGACGATATTTAGTGTTGGTACTGCTGTTGCCTTTTGGCTGTTAAAGGAGGCTAGAATTCTTTTTTGTCAAAACATATCTTACTATGTTATTGTAGACTGTATAGGTTTGTGTCTTAGAGGGTAACAACACTAGCCTATATTCTCTTGTACTCTCTCATTCTAGTTCATTCCATTATTAAAACATGGTATCATGAGTAGGTTAGGTCCCGTTCGCCCACCCGTGCTTCCGCCCTAGGTCCTAGCCGCCCGTTCCCCCCTCGCCGGCCCGTTCCCCCTAGCCGGCCCGTTCCCCCCTAGCCGGTCCGTTCCCCCCCTAGCTGGCCCGTTCCCCCTTGCTGGCCCGTGCCCGTCCTGTAGCCGGCCCGCGCTCGTCCCGCGCCCGTCTCGTAGCCGGCCCGCGCCCGTCGCCTAGCCGGCCTCGTGCTCGCCCCGTCGCTGGCCCGTGCCCTCCTCGTAGCCGGCCTCGCGCCCTCCTCGTAGCCGGCCCGTTCCCCCTAGCCGGCCTGCGCTCGTCCCGCGCCCGTCCCGTGCCCGCGCCCTCCTCGTAGCCGGCCTGAGCCTGTCCCGCAGCCGGCCCGTGCCCGTCCCGTAGCCGCGCCCGTCGCCTCGCCGGCCCCGTGCCCTGGCCCGCGCCCTCCTCGTAGCCGGCCCCGCGCCCGCCCGTTCCGGCCCCCGCGCCTGCCCGTAGCTGGCCCCCGCGCCCGTCCGTGGTCGGCCCCCGTGCCCGTCCGTAGCCGGCCCCGCGCCCGTCCGTAGCCGGCCCCGCGCCCCTCCGTAGCCGGCCCCCGTGCCCGTTCGTCGCCGGCCCGTCCCCGTTCCGCTCTGGCCCGCAACGGCTCGCTCTCCGCGCCCGGCCCTGACGCCCAGTTGCACGTCACGTGCAGCCGGCTCCTGCACTGCACTCCACGGTACTGCACCGCCCGTCGCCACACTGCACCGTCCTGCACCGCACTGCATTGCCCTGCACCGCAGCTGCATCACCCCTGATGGCAGACTCTCTGCTGCGGTTTGACACGTAGGGTCAGCCGATCGAGTTCGACACGTGGCTCGTCGACCTCTGCCGTCACCTCACTGGGCAGCGGCAGGACGGCAACTTCTTGGCTGTCCAACTCGACGGTACACTCACCTGTCCAGACCCCCCTGCTGCGCTGCCCACGTCTACTGAGTATGAGTCCGCTGCTGCTGTAGCCCTTGCCCGCTCGGTCTCGTTGTCGCGTGACGCTATTGCACAGCTAACAATCAGTCATGCCCTTCCCCTGTCTGAGCGTCCCCGCTTTAGGTCGGTCAGGACCGCCCAGGAATTCCTAGATGGTGTTATTGAGTGCTATTCCACTCCTTTTGCTGCCTCCGTCGGTCGCCTGATCCTGCCTCTGCTGTTTTCTGACCTCGCGTCTTTCCCCACTGTCGCTGACCTAGCCGCCCAATTGTGCACGCTAGACTTGACCTGGTGCTCTGCCTGCACAGAGGCTCAGCTCCGTGTGTTCCATCCCCCCCTCTGTCCGATCTTACCGCACACAAGGCCACAGCGAGGACCGGTCTGAAGCTGGTACTGGCAGCGCCCGTCGCCGGAGCCACAACCCGACGTCACGCCACGCACACGACCAGCGCGACCGCTGCCACCGCCAGCTCCAGGCCACCCAGGCAGGAGACGACCAACGCGCCGCTGCTGCTGCTGCTGACGCGACGGCTGGTGTTGCTGCTGCTGCAGTGGCTGAAGCGGCTGCTGCTATGGCTGCTGCTGATCCTGCGGTGGAACTGGCTGCTGCTGCTGAGACTGCTGCTCGGTGGTGCCAGACCCAGCACCCTCCTCCGCACCCCCTGTGGGCAACCTTGCGACAGCACCTCCTCCACCTACACCGCCACCACTACCACCACCTCGCCCAGCCTTGGGGCGGCGGCCCTTTCCCGGTCCCCACCCGCTGTTTCAGGTCGCCTGGATGACCTGTTTCGTCTTCGCTTCGGCCCGTCGCCCGACCTCTTCGACTGGCTCAGCTTGCTCCGCCAGGGTGTTCAGATCTTTGATATGGACATGGATGAGATTGGCTCTGCGTTGTATGTGCTATACGTCGATGACTCTAGTGTGATTGGTTCTGCTTACCCAGTGTTGCCTTGTGTAGGTGTGCCTAGTTCAGACCCCCCTGCTGCGTCAGGCGTAGGATCTCCTGCTTTGTTTAGCTTAGGCTCCTCTCTTGCTCCTACCGCTCATGCCATCACTGCCGCGCTCTCCTCCACCCTTGACGCTGGCGCTTCTCGATGCTTCTTCCGGGACTCCACTACGCTCACGCCACTTCCAGCTCCTGCCGCAGTTTCTCTGGCCGACCCTTCCTCCGGCCCTGTCGTAGCTCGTAGCTCCACTACCCTTCCCTGTCCAGTGGTTCCTTCAGGCTCACTTACAGGCCTGCACATCCCCTCGTTCTCTAGGAACCTACTTGGTGTCGGCTGCCTCCAGGACCTTGGCATCACCACTACGTTCCCTGGTCGTGAGCGGTACGCTGTCTGTACCGAGGCCGCCACAGGTGCTCCCCTCTCCACGTTCCCCCGGGACCCGGTGTTTGGCCTGTTCACACTGGACACTGCCCCCCCCGGTTGTGCCGTCTCCCCAGGTGACTGTGTCTCCTCAGGTAGCTGCGTCTTGCTCGTGTCGGTCGATCACTCACCCGACGCTACTGTGGTACCACCGCCTAGGTCACCCTGCCCTCCCCCGTCTTCGTCATATGTCTCAGCACGGTCTTGTTCTAGGCCTCCCTGGGTCGTTCCCTGCGCTCCCCTCCTCACCCGCACCGCCGTGTTCCCCCTACTTCAAGGGCCGGCTCCGCCATGCCCCTCGTTACACGTCGTGAGCGTAACTTCCTCATCCTTGTTGACGACTACCCTCGTTACACCACCGTGTTTCCTCTGGAGCGGAAGGCTGACGTGCCCGCCGCCCATATCCCCTGGCTGGTCTCTGCGCGAGTGCACCGCGGTCTCCCTGTCTTGCGTCTTCACTCTGACCGTGGTGGCGCGTTTGCCTCTGGCGTCCTTAGTCGTTTCTGTCGTGCGGAGGGCATCACCCAGACTTTCACCCTGCCGGACTCCCCGCAGCAGAATGGGGTCGCTGAGCGATGCATCGGTTTGGTCATAGAGGTGGCTCGTACCTCCATGATCCATGCCGGTGCACCCCATTTTCTGTGGCCGTTCGCCGTTCGCTACGTTGCCCACCAGCTTAACCTGTGGCCGCACCCCCAGCGGCCGCAGGTTTCGCCGACCCTTCTCTGGACCGGGTCTCCTGGTGACGCGTCTGCGTTCCACGTCTGGGGCTGCCTTGCTCACGTTCGTGCCTCCGGCATGGAGAAGCTCACTGTCCGCTCTGTCCCCTGTGTCTTCCTCGGTTTCCCCCTCGACTCGTCTGACTGGCTCTTCTACCACCCGCCGTCTCACCGTTTCTTTCACTCTCGCGACGTCACCTTTGACGAGTCTGTCTCCTACTACCACCGCTTTCCCCACCGTGGTCCCCCGCTTACTCCCCCCCTGTTCCTACTCCCCCCTTCCCCAGTCGCCCCTACTTCCCCACCTCCCCGCCCGGCTTGGTCTGGTGTGTCTCACGTCACCCCCCTACCGTCGGTTGTCTCGGTTGAGGAGTCTGCTGACTCTCATGGCCCTATGGCACAATCCATGCCGTCTGCCCCCTTCACCATGTCTCCTCCTCCGTCGTCGCAGCCGCAGCCGGTGTCGCAGCCGCTGCCGCCGTTGTCGCCACTACAGCAACAGTTAGTCTCCTCTGGGGGTGCTGGTG